CTTATATTTGTATCTGTAAAACCTGGGCACCCTAATCCTAATAGGTTCTCCAGATGAAGGAAAGGAAAACATGGTTTCTTACTACTTTGAAAGAACTGAAGAGTCTGAAAATCTTGAGTCAGGAGAAGTTTTCTAGTTTTCCCTGTGGCTTTGGCAGAGTCAGGATGTGTCAATTGCTGGTGGTACTCTGAGCGTAATGCTGTCCTTGGCCACCCACCACCGAAACCCATGGTCCCAACCACACTTGGGAGAGGCACAAACCTTGCCTGTGGACAGGGCTAGAGAGGACCCACAGCACAAGAGTGAGACTTGGTGATCAGAGGAGCTGGCAGTGCATGTCCTAAAGCCACTGAGGGCTTTGTGAGGTGAAGTCCATCTTGTGCCTTCCCTGTGGTCAGATGGAAAAGTCTCAGGTCAGGATGCGAACACCCAAGGTCTACTTCTTTATCAATTTATTCACTCACTTGACCAATGCAATGTATATGGCACACTGTGGTGCATCTGGCTCTGTCATGGGTTCTGAGATGACAAAAGTGTTCTCGAATTGAAAAGCAGCCTTATGAAGCCTACTTCAGCAGGAGATAAAGACGAGACTCATAGCATGAGCCAGTGATTTAGGTCCTTGACCGAATTCGCCATCCTGGCACCAGCTCACAGATTGGTCAACGCATTTCCGTTGAACAAATTGAGGATGACAACAAATTGAGAAAATGATAACAGAAATTGAAAACAGAAAACAAGGACAAAAAGTCTTGGAGGCAAGGATAATAACTGAAACCTGATTTTCAAAGTCGTAAGTAGGGTAAATAGCGATGATGGGCTGGAGCCGAAGACTGTAAGGAGAGCTGAGCTAAGAACGTTAGCATAAATCTGTGGCAGGCACAGTAAGGGATCCCATGCAAACAAAGTCCCCAAGCACTAGATTAGGGAAGAGGTTGGCTCAGGGTAAGAAGTTAAGGCTATTTGGAAGTTCTTTAGAGCTTTCCAGAATCTTCCTTCTCAGGATAAGTTTTGTTGATGATTGTGAAAGAAATAGAGAAAGAAAAAAAAATGTCATTCTAAAACTTAGCACTTTTATTTTAAAAATTTGTCTTTATGGATACTTTTTAAAGGACAGTGTAACATGTCTGTAACCAAATTAACCTGGGAACACCATAGTGGACAGGTCCATGATATGGATAGGAGAAAATGTTGAAGATATCTGAGAATCATGGCTGAAGTACCTGATGTCTGGGTATGGAGTTAAAATGCAAGCTTATTACTTGATCGCCTGCATTAAGTTCACTATTTGTGCCCGTGTCTATTAGTTTCTCCTATCCAGATGGCTACAATGTCACCTCCCAGGACTAAGAGAAGAGTTTCTGGGTCACCTGAGGATTAGATAAAATAAAGATATACAGGAACAGGGGCTGGGGTTGTGGCTCAGCAGTAGAGCACTCACCTAGCAGGTGCGAGGCACTGAGTTAGATCCTCAGTACCACATAAAATTAAATAAAATAAAGGTATTGTGTCCAACTACAACTAAATATATGTATGTATATAGGAAGAGAGCTCATTAAATATAGACATTTAGAATCAGGTTATTTTATAGCTGGCAGGAAGAATTCATAAAGTTTGGAGCCCATGAAAGCTGTAATAGGCTGCAGGTATGGTAGATAGTCCATTTTCCTCCCTGGACAAATGATGGGACTGGTGGTAGTGGAGGGCAAGTTCACCATTATGATGAATTCACACAGAACTTGAGAAGCTCATCTCTCGGAACAGCATATACCTACATTTTTGAGATTGTAAGTCCCTTGGTGGTCAGTTTACACCCCAGTACATTGAATGCCTCCATTGAGTTAGACCATATTTTCTTTAAAATCTCTTTAAACTGTAAGCATCTCTCCCCTTTTGGTGTTAATTTAGAATACTGAACTTCTTTTTCAAAGTGCTTGTCTTTCCCCTTTGAGACTGAAGGTCTGATAACAATCATTCTTGTTACTGGAACATTCTTCCTTTTTTCTCTCTCACTGTCCAGAGAGCCCCACGGGGAAACATCAGCCGACCAGGGGCAGTCAAAATGAGTGACAATACTACTTTGGCTCCTCCAGCGGCAAGCCAAGCTCCTGCCACCCCGCGCAAGGGGCCTCCCAAGTTCAAGCAGAGACAGACTCGCCAATTCAAGAGCAAACCTCCTAAAAAGGGTGTGAAAGGGTAAGACCAAAAGGAAAAAGAAAGCCTGCTGCTCCCACAAGACTACTCTGGTTTTGAGAAACTAATGCTCCTCATGTTGAACAGACTTAACACAAATTTCCACCCCACCCTCTGTTTTCCTGTCTAACTCAGGCTTTGCTGAGTCATGTCTTTAGTTTTGTAACTCTTCCCCTCCCAGTTCGCGCAGGTCCATGGCCAAACTTATCATGTGAAATGGAGCCTCTCACAATAACCTTGGATTCGACCTTCCAGGATTTTCTTGACCACCCTTTGTTGACATTCCTTGTGCTTTAGTACTGGAATACTGAACCACTGGTCATTTCCAAAAAAACACGATTTATTTTTATGTTTTACACTTTGATGTCTTCAGTTCTTTCTTTTCTCTCCCTCTCCTTGAAAAAATCCTGTCAACACACAGCTCAATTCAATACACCATTCATATTGCTTTTGAACTCTGAAACTTTATCCTTACTTTCATGTTTGCTCTATGATTAGTATTTAGCTATCATAATTTGACTTTTCTTTCTTTCTTTCTTATTTTTTTTTTTGGTATAGCATTCATTAATTTACATCTGTTCCCCAAGGCTAAAATCCCTCAGAGGAAATTTGTTTATTGTTTTCCTTAACTTTCTGTGACTTACATGATGTTGGGCACATAGCAGATGCTAAGTTAATGCTTGTGAATGTGAACAGGCAGATGAATTGAATCTAAGGGTCTTTTGTAAGAAGTGTTCTCTAATTTCAGTTTCCATTTTACAAAGTGAAGCTTGAGTAAGTTGTCCTCTTAGTTATTCTTTCTGGTTTTCAAATGTCTTAGACTAAAGTTTCTAGAGAAGAAAAAAAAAAATCTCCCTCCAGAGATATACTAAGTCCTACTGGAGTGACATTCACTTTGCTCCAGTTCAATGCGAATGAAAGAAATTTCTCAAAGAAGAAGCTACTTCTTCTTCTCCCTTGAGTCAAGAAATTGTCCATGTGCATGACTCCAGGATCCTTTTAATTGAACTCAGCTAAATGTTTCTTTTATTCTTTCCACTTAGGTTTGGAGATGACATTCCAGGCATGGAGGGACTAGGAACAGGTGAGCCACTCACAGGTCTAAGCGAGAACCTTGCACTTAGAGTTTCTCCTCTTTACACACTTCAGGCCTCAAGGAGCAGTTGAGAGTTACAAGGAATACCTAAGGCAGCAGAACCTTCGAGGACATAGAAATGTGGGGATTTCATTTACCCTCCTAAGTAAATACATATGTGACCAGACACAAAAACCCTAAAAGAAATCAAGGAGACCCAAAGTTTAATGAATCCCCTTGTTTTATTAAAGAACCTTTGAAGGTATATAATGGGCAATTGTAGATTTTCATGGTAGAAAGATTCTCAGAGTTTGTCTAGCCCAACTTTACTTTTCAGGAGAGAAATCTGAGACAGAGGAATTAAGTGACAATGTGGGGCCACAGAGTGAGGTATTGGAAATAAGACAAACTTTCCACCCAACCAGGCAAACCACTTCTTAGCAACTTCCTCTTCTTGCACATCCTCTAGCACCAAGAACAGGACCCTGCATGCAGGAGGCATCCAATACAACTTTTTTAATTGGCTAGAATATTTTCATTCTCTGGATAATGATCATAACTAATGTACCCCAGGAAGTGTATGTCATCCTATTTTAATATATTTTATTTCTTATAGAAGTTTTATATTTAGAGAAAAATCAAGTAGAAAGTCCAGAGACTTCTTCTATTCCACTTTCCTCTTTCCCCTCATGCACAGTTTCCCTATTGTTAGCATCTTGCAGTGTGACACGAGTGTTATAGTTGATGAGCCAATACTGATACATTATTATCATATTAATCAGAATCTGGGGCTTACAATAGCTTTGGGCTAATTCCTTGTATGATTTTAAGTGTTTTAATTAATACATAATAGTTGTGTACCCACCATTATTGTACCCTAGTTTCACTGCCCTAAACAACCCCTGTGTTCCAACTGCTCATCTCTCTCTCCTTCCTCCCAAACTCCTGACAACCACAAATATTTTTTATCTTACTTTTGCCTTTTCCAGGATATCATATAGTTAGAATCTAACAGTATAAAGTTTTTTTCACACTGGGTTCTTTCACTTATCAATATTCGATTAAGGTTCGTCCATGGCTTTATGTGGCTTGACAGCTCATTTCTTTTTTATTGTTGAACAATATTCCATTGTATGAACATACCACAGTTTATTTAGCCTATTGAAGGACTTGATTTTTTCCAAGTGTACACAAGTCAAGCCATTGTCTATGCTTGAGCATGCACAAACACACACACACACACACACACACATATTTGTGTGCAGGTTTTTGTGTGGCTATATGTTTTGAACTCATTCAACATGGTTGATAACTGGTGACACTCATAGAAATCAGTGTTCTTACCAGGAGATACTCAGTGTGTTTGCATTCTATATTCAGTGGGACCACAAATAGATTTTCTAGTCACTTTATAATGGTCATTTGTTGTTCTAGGTTAGTTGCTTCTGTATTTTGGCCAGATCAGCATATTTGCTTTAAGCTCTAGAAGACAGGCTTAAACTCCCAACACATTTGGAACAATGTAAACAGATTTATTCTGAAGGAAGATCTGAGGTCTTTGACCTGGTTCTAGTTCCATATATATAACTGGTTTGATTGATTGATTGATTGATTGCTAATTGTTTACTCTGGGTATAAGCCAGCTTCTTTGTAATGGGGGATAGTAATATCTGAAACAAGCAGCTGAATTAGAAGGTGCCTTGAGATTGCCTGTCAGTAGATGATTTGACATAAGTTTCAAAATGTAGAGGAACTGAAGAGTGAGTCAGAGAAACCCAAGGAACCCATTTGGTAGGAGTAAGACCACTGATTCTCAGACCCCGGGGATTTACAGTGCTTCCAATTCCCTTTTTAATCTTTGACCTGACTAGAATTCCACTTCTGCTTTCTCCATGGGAGTTGAAGTTTAGGGAGACTCAGTGAGCCATACCCCACAGTGTGCTCCAGTCCAAGCCATTGTCATCTTCCCAAAGAGGATACAGAATGAAACCAACAGAGATACCCGGGCAGTGGGGGCAGCAGAGGTGGGGACAATAATTGTGCAATTGATGGGATTCTTCCTGGGCTCTAAGGCCAGTCTGGATAGCTTCCCAGTTGCCAGGGGGTGATGAATAGAAGGGAGGAGAGAGGTGTCTCTGCCTGAAGGGTATCCTTTGCGTGGAAAGAAGAGGCTCTCTTACACACACACACACACACACACACACACACACACACACACACACACTGGATGAGGTTGTCTTACATATTCTTCTTTCATCTCTCGCAGATATCACGGTGATTTGTCCATGGGAGGCCTTCAGCCACTTGGAACTGCACGAGCTTGCCCAGTTCGGGATTATCTAAAGCACCAGGGGTTCTGCCAACGCGCAGCCACATCTGCTGTAAAATTGACTGCTTTTGCTCTATTGTTCTGACAGAGGCTTAAAATTCAGTATTTAGAAGGAGTTTCTTGGACTTCTGTGGTCATTTTCCATCAGTTACCAAGTCGTTCTCTTGGTGTCAGAATCTCTCTTGCAGCCCATAGCTCAGCTAGGAGTGAGATTGAAAACCTACTTTTGTTGGGTGATTTTAAACTTCACCACCCTTTCTATCAACTGGTTAGAAGCCATCAATATTTCTGTACATTTTGTTTTATGTGTAAGTTTCTCAAATCTAATTTGCTTGGCATTCATTGTAATTAGTAGTAGAATTTTAAGATAGCACGTCATTCTTCGCCCCTTCTTATTTTAAGAAAGGAGACATTTACCTTGAATCTTATGGTGAAATTGTACTAAATACTGCATACAAATACTTGATGCCCTGTTCTGAGAACTAGTTAAACAAAGAAGGCACAGTCACGTGGAAATAGGCACACGATGCTTGTGAAAGAGTACAAGATTAAGATTCAAGTCATAGTTTTGCTTTGTCAATTTCACTTTCTTGGTCTATATTTTATTGAAGTAGGTTATCCTGAGGTCCCATGTAGCTCTGAATTATACAATTCTATGATAGTTGAAGACTGGACACTTAAACTCACAACTCTGACAACATGAGTCTACTTTTTAGTGCTCTGTTTCGGAAAAGTTCCTATTTATAGTCTCCCTTTGGTGGAATTATTCTGTCCAATGGCTTAAGGTGAGAGTCACAGCTTATTTGTATATGCATCGGCTGGATTTCTGTACATTTATAATAAATCACTTTTAAACCATTCGTTTAAAAGCTTTATATGCTATAGATGCAAAGTACAGATAGTCGAACCCTCCAAATAAAATAAAAGGTTTGCTTCACCTCTAAGGTTGTGTCAAATGGAATGTGCACATAGTTATCTTTTCCCAATACTTTCAAGGCGCTTGTGCAATTTGAATACTGCCTCTGTCTGACTTGGATGCCTTGGTACTAACAGTATGGATTTCTTCATTTCAGTTTCATAATCTGTGGTTAAAAAAAAAAAAGAGTAAATTAACTGAAAAAAGAAGGGTGAAAGAGAGGATAGAGAGATTCTAGTCCTGAATCTACCAGTAAGTTGCACTGTAATTTTGGGCAAAGACTCCACCCTTTGGACCCTCCAGTTTGTTTGAATTTGATAATCTGAGGTTCACGGTAGCAATAAATTCTGAGAATTAGAGGGACTCAGTAGTCAAGAGAATTTACTTTTGCTATTGGTTTTATATTATTTATTTTACAAAATTGACCGAAGTACTTATTGACCAGAAAATTAGAAGTACAAAAGAAAAAGGAAGATATAAATTAAAAAGTGGAACAATGACATGCACAGAGGCATAGTGGTAAGTGTGCTTTCCTCTTCAGCAGGAACTCCTGCCTCCACCCAGGCACCTATTTTCTGTCCCTCCTGCAAAAGCTGGCCCTACCCCTTCAAGTCAGCCGCGTTTCTTAGCCAATGACTTCAGTCACCACTTGTTCATCCCAGGCTGTCTTTTATAAAGTCTAGGAGGTCTAGGTTCTTCTGTGGCTGGATGAGAGTCTGATCTGCATTTTGATTACTTTGAAAATGTTTCTCCAAACGTGAAACAATAATGTTGAGAAAACAGAATGCACACAAAGGAACATATCCATGCTTCTGTCCGACGTGGATGCTTTGATACCAACAGGATGAGTTTCTTCATTTCCATTTTGTAAGTATATCAGAAGTTAATCCGTCACAAAATTTTAATTTTGGAGAATTTTAAAAAATCTTCAGACACCTTCCTGATAATAAGAATCATTGAGGATTGCTTGTGCAAAGCATACAAAATTTGGGTCCAAACTCAAGATTTTCTGTATAAAAATCTCCAAGGGAAGGATCCTGGAGTTAATTATTATTAATAAGTGTCCCAGGTGATTCTTTGATTTGTGTCATTTTGAAAACACCAGGAAGTCCTAGCCTACATTTTGCACATTAGAAATTAGATCATTCTTATCATACTGCCTCTATTAGCCAATCAATTTGCTTCCCAACAAAATATGTGAGAAAAGTGACTAACGTTTAATGGATTCCAACTCGTAGACTGTTTTGTTGACGGATAACATGGAAATACCTCACCACTCCTTGGTAACTCAGTTAAATGCTTTTTGCAGAGACTGTCAGAGAGTGTAGACTTTAAGTATTGAATTGACAGTTTCAAGAACTACGGGGCCAAATGTGCACTATTATTGCCTATTACCTGCTGCTGCCTCACTCAGATACCCTCCCTCCAAAGTCCTGTCCTAAACTGCTTTCTCTGACTGGAGTAGGAGAGACCAGGGAGGGAGAGAGCTTTGGTCTGGGCAGGCGGAGCCAGGGGCCTGCCTTATCCTCCACCCCTTTCTTGTTGGTTGCTGTAGTTGGATAGAAGTTGAGAATGAAGATGCTTATGATTTAGGCCCTTCTGCCCATTCTAGAACCCAGCAGCGCTAAAGTCAGACAGAAAAAAATTATGCAAGGAGGAAATGCTCCTCTCAGTACTCCACCCTAGGCAAATATACACCGTGGTTCAAATAACGGTCACTGTGTGTTGACTTCTATTGTGAGGGAAGGAAAACTCCCATCAACTGACAGGAGAAGAGAGATATTTTCTTAACAACTAAAGGAGTGAATGGAACACACACACACACACACACACACACACACACACACACACACACACACCACTTACACATGCACAGAGGAATAATCAGTAAAAACAGTATTTAATACCAGAGAGAATGGCAATCGCACTTGACTAAACAAAAGAAAAACCAACACGATGAGAGCTAAGAAAATATGACATCAAATTGTCTTAAAGGGAGAAACAGAAAAGGCTTTATGTTTTATTAAAGGCTAAAAGGCTTAAATGGAACATAAAACCTGGGTATGTGTAGAAACTAACAAAGTGTTTCCTGCAGATCTAAATAAGTTGTTGCCCTACCATTTACCTCATGAGGGCATACATAGCTGGATTAGATGAAAACAGAAATTTAAAAGCAAGATTCATAAACTGATTGTTAATCTCAGTACACAGTTTCTTTTGGCAAAAACCATTAGGAGATGAGGGTTCTGCCTGGTTCTGCTACAAAGTGCTTATTAAATAATCAGATAATTAATGTCCCTTCTTTGGGCTGAAATATTTTGAGAATAAAAAGAGATCTTGGACTAAATGATCTCCAATGTTCCTTTCAGCATAAACTTATAAAACACAAGTAATAAGTCTAAATATATTTCAAATACAACCACCCTGTTCTCTTTATGGACAGAAGTCCTAAAACACAGAGCCTCAATTTCCAGTTCCTTCCAGAATGAGTGTTTAATTGGTTTTTTCACATCTCTTCAAGACCCAGGGTAAAGTCAAATTGTGTACAGTACTGCCACCTGCTGTAATGAAGGAGTACTTCAACACTCGGAAAGCTAACCATTTCAATTAGAAAACTTTTAAATCCTCAGAGCTAATTCTGAATTTGTCCCCACTTATTGGCCAATTAAGTCTATTGTACTACTGATTGGCTATGGAAAGGTCTTCTATACACAGGATACACATTAAGAGGCTATGAAATTGAACGTACTACAAGGTAAGTCTCACTTCCACCCAATGAACTGT